TGTCTGCCCCCCCCCCCTCAGACGATACACGCGAGAATATGGAGTAGTAGGAGAATAATGCAGACAGGGAATAACTGAAGGGCAAGAAAAAAGACCAGTCTCTGTGCCAGTTTGTCTGCCATATGTCTCACATGGACTGAACTTTACACGAACCCGGGCCTTCGCTGTGAGAAACCAGTAACTAACCGCTTGTATACCAGTGTCTGTATAGTAGCTATTTTGAGACCATATAAAGCTGTTAATTCTCAACTGGATTGTCTTACTCATTTGTCTATTGTAATATCTCTACAACATCCTGTTAATTCCGTTAAATTTTAATATATTTTCTTTTAAATATTTGTTCACTTCAATACTTTAAATGCGACAACTTTAAAAATCCTTAATATATATAAATGCTGAATAATGCACCCAAGCAAAGAAACAAACGAAGCAGGAATTACGCATTGTGATCGAAGAATAAAACAATTGATACGTAACCGTTGTCATAAGAGAATCAGAGGGAAAAATAGGCATGCTTATTTTCACTTGTCTACCCTGACAATTTTTGACTAACGGTTGCCTAAAGTATAAATAGTTTGAACAAACATACTGTAAATATTAAAATACAATAAAATATATTTTTACACGTGTTTTTATATGCATTTAAAAGTTGGTCCTTCAATCAAACGCTGAGGGAATGTTTGTAACCGAAAGATGTGGAAGTAAAAGAGAGATGAAGAAAATAGCTTAACGCTTATGACTTATAGTACATAAGAAAGATGTAAGAAATGCGAACACAATTTTGATCTGAAATCTAAATGAAAGAGACCATTTGGGAGACCCGGATTAGATGGAAATATAATATTATGTTGGATCTTAAAAACAAAGGAATAGAATATGAAAGTATGAACTAAATTTAACTGGCTCAGGAAAGGCCATTTGGGAACAGGGAAATGACTTATATCGGTCAATAAACGGGGAGGAATATTTTGACGGTGTAAGTGTTTATTAGCTTTTCTAGAAGGACTCTGCTTCATGTCGTTCATGAAATATACAGTTTAATGTTCTTTCTTTACAAGAGTCAAAACATACGCAAGTCACTGCATGCCCTTAACATTTAATTTGTTTTCGCGGTGTTTACATATTTTGTATGGGGTCGATCCTTGACGGAGTTTCTCATCCTCTGAGTTTCAGTTTTACTGCACCTGCTAAGTTGCTCTCATCCTGCGCAGATGTGGCTGGCGCCTTTCAACTCCACAAGGCCCTGAGCCTTGAGCAAGGGGCGATAGTACGTGTTCGACTCTAGCCACAAACAGTGTTCGCGCAGAGTTTCGATTGTCCGGGCGCCGCGACGCGACTCACCGGACTGAAAGTGGGAAATGTGCAATCCAACTGAAGGAAAGCAACAGCTTAGGGACAACCACGGAATATTCTTTATTATGCAGTTGAAACTGATGTAGTTGCGTACATTTTAAAAATAATAATAGTAATTATTAAGATAGACCGGTATCAAACAAGTAATTAAATATGGATAAAACTAAATACGGGAACATAACAGAAAATAAATATTTGCTACGAAGGGCCCTAATAAATAATTTGAAAATGCTTCAAAATTAATTACGTAAGAAATAATATTAAGAAATAGGAATTATGCTCGTTATAAAATTAGGAGAAAAATATAATTTTTAAATTCTTGTTATTTTATTTGAAAAGCGACATCACTCCGTTTACTTTGAGTGATACTGAATACCAGGACAAACAAAATTTTGCCTCTTGTTACTACATTCCATCATCTTGTTGTGGGGCTTTCAGGATAGTGCTTTCTCTCGTCATACGCAACAATCTTCGTAATTATCGTAATACAATGTTTTAATACTCTCATAGCAATATGCTTAGGTCCTTACGTAAAAGTTTTAGGATCTTCACAATTGTAATTTTATGAAGCTAAAGATTGTAGTTCTTTGATTAGTGGCAATAAAAGTAAATAATCTTTCGTATGTGCGCGTGATATTCTATAGTCATAATTCAAAACTTCTTACGAAAATTTAATATACAATTTTGGATGTGACAGTATGTTTAAAATAGTTCCTGTTGATTTGAGTATAAAACGTCTCTTTCTTTCAAAGGGAGAAGTAAAATATTTGGAAACAAAATGTTCATGGACATGTGTTGACCTAAGAAAGATAATAGAAAACAACTGAGAATTCAGGATACTGAAAACAAGGAAATTTTTGCTTCTATAGGAATCATCTATTATTAACGGGATAATAAATCCAAGGGCGTACAAGGTGCTGGGCATGTTTCTAGGATGTGTTGACAAAGGATACGTACACAGTGCTGGTGCGAAGATCTAGACTTGGGAGACCGAGTGGGGCATGGAAGGATAACATTAGAATTAACTAATATTAATAAGACAGGTTGCGACAGTGGAAGTTGGATGCCACTGCCTCAGGAACATCTAACGGTTTGCTTTGGTATTAGCGGTGTTCAACGTTCGTTTTTTGTATGATTTGAGGTTTTCACAGCGGTGAGTATGAAGATATCTGTTCTCTGGGTTGTTGCGCTGTGTAGTCTGGTCGATGTTTACCAAAGTTTCAGAGGTCATATTGCCTCTGAAACGTTGGTAAACATCTACCATACTACACAGCGCAACAACCCAGAAGACAGAAATCTTCGTATTTTGCGTCTACAATGTTTGCTGTTAGCTGGAAAATAATTAGTCTGCCTGTAGTTTTGTGTGGCTTAGAATATGTGGCCTTGTACCCAAAAGCGAAGAACGTAAATTGCAAGTACTCGAAAATAACAAGCCCACACTAACCAAAATATTAGACGTGAGAGATATATTTTGCGAGGAATGTAATAACAGGGATAAACTTTATAATGTTCCTTGTGAAATTAAAATGGGTAGGATAGGTTGTGCTGGACGTATACAGAATGTGCAATGTATGTTTGGGGCCATGGCAAAATTCTGTTATTTGGCAAAATACGGAAACATGTAAGGAAGGAAACGTGCAAATCCTGCGTTTACAACACCAAGTTTGGGAATTATTTGACATAGGACAAGCCGTTAAAGCGTTGTACTCTTTACATTATCTGTAGTAAAAATTACGGCGATGTTGCCACGCTCATATGACAGTGAAAGTGTGATGTGTTTTTACAATAAGAACCTGTAGGAATCTTTGGAAACACTCAACAAAACTACAAATTTGCCTGTTGTTTCGTATGAGTGTAAAGCGTGATAACTTGCATTAACCTTGACACACAGATTGAGAATATTTGAGAACAGAGTCCTGACGATAATTTCAGACCTAACAGGGATGAAGTGACAGAAGGCTAGGGAAAATATGAGAATGAAGAGCCCCATAGTTTGTACTTTTCACCAAACATGTTTAGTACGATCAAATCAATGAGGACGAAATGGAAGTGGTTGATAATATGAAATAAATTTTGTTAGTAATATTTAGACAGGCTCGTAACACGAAAGATTTTTATTCGACATTAATGTATTTGTACTTTTTTACATGTACAAGCATGAGGGTTAGGAATGCCACAAACATTGTTTTTGCAGAGACTACTCGAAAATACTAAAATGGATCGGATGAAAATTGGGTCAGAGAATGTACATGTCTACCTCCGGGTTATAACGGTCGGAATTCGATTCCTGCCAAGGACAGTTGCTTCTCTTGTAGCCACTATCACTTTCAAATCAACTCCTTGCTCAGACCTGCCAGAGCGTGACCCTAACCATTTCCACGTTGTATCAACGATAAGAATGTCCGGAGACTTCACCGTTTATTCACGATTTGTGTATGATTAATCACACGGACAACTTTACCTTTTATCTATTATGTAATTTCTCCCTCGTCTGCTATTTTTTTCTCTGTTGGGTCCACATGTTATCCATTTGTTTAAATTTTGTCGTAGGTTAAACGGCTATTAAAACCCCTGCACTGCTGAGCTGCTGGCCGGTCTTGTAATTCCATAGTTAACGGCTTAGCAGCACACAAGGTCTACACACGTACAGCTGGAATGCACGTTAAGACAAAAGGACGACAAAGGATATATTTCTGTCCGGAATTCATACAGAGTTTTGCATACATCTGACATATAAATCAGGAAATGGAGTACAATATATATTCTGCTCGTGTATAAATACACTGTCGATAATTTTACATAAAATAGAACATTTGTTTGAGAATTACGATTCCCTGTCATTGTGGCATTGTGGAAGTGTATTTTTACAAGTAAGAACACATCAGCATTATATAAACACAGTTCCTCTGCCTTCGCTGTGTAAAGTAAGACTCATTCTGATGATATTGATAATCGTGGTGATGGCTCAGGTGTTTATTCAGAGGGCATGGAGGTTATCCACTGCGCAGGACAGCACAATATTTCTACAAGTCCTCATTGTTCTCATCTTGAGTAAGTGCATCCACTGTAAATAATTCATAGCATAGCATCGGCTGGGACAAGCTTAAAGGTTACTTGTCTTCTGGGATGTTACCGCCGTGTGTTCTGGTGGAAACTGACCGATGTTTCAGAGGTGCTTACTGGCACCATCATCAGAACGATCATCGCATTAATGGAACCGTAAGCACCTGTGAAACGTTTAGTCAGGTTCCACCAGTACACACGGCGGAGACATCCCAGAAGACAAGTAACCTTTAAGCTACAATGCAGTTAGATGCATGAATTAATCACATAAGACGTTAACGGTTTCAAACAGTTCTTTGTAATATTTTATAGTTTATTAATTGCCATATTTATTTAGCAGTCGTCACTAAATTGCATGCTTCAGGGCCACTTCTTACCGCGCAAATATAACACAACAGCACAGCGTCGCTGGCTTTGCTGCTCTGCAAGTTTTGAGCTGCTATCACTCGCCTGCTCTCCGCTGTTTGTATTGCGACGTTGTACGATTTTGCTGTGACCTTGAAGCATAAAATTTGACGACGGCTACAAGAGCTCTTACTGGACTGTGTTAGGACCTTACATGACTTGTACACTCCTTACACGGTTTTGCATCTTCAACAGATCATCTTTAGTGTCCAATAACAAAAATTTCCAGAGTTTAATAAGATTTACATTCTATTACGTGTATACATTTTTGGAACAAGATGTGATTTTGAGAAAATCGGATTAAGGGTTATACTGAAGCCAAAGTAATACATTAAAATCACCTGATATCGTGCAGTGTAGGCGCTGTGTACCAATGTAATGAAAATCAGTTTAGTAATAACGGAGGTGAAAATTGATCCTTGTACTAAATAACGTTACAAATCAATTATGCTTGAAAGTAGTTAATTATTTCTAGACCTAATACATTACGCAGTATTTCGCAAGAAAAACAAAGAAAATAGGACAAAGAGTTGAAATGCTGATTATATGTATAGCGGCGTCATAAAACAGCAACTCTATTCAACAGAGTTCTTCTTGAGAATCTGATGGTCGCCCAGATAGTCAAGTTTTCCATCTTTAATTTGGCCCGAAAATTCATTGCTATATTCAGAAGTGTCCGTCACTGGACACTGTAGTGTGTCAGATTAATCAAGTCTATGACATTACATCTTATTTCTTAATATAGCCTATTCTGAATATTATATTCTCATATGTGTAAGTCTTAAGAAATGGTCTCTTTCCTTTAGGTATCCGACTAAAATTTATGTGCATTTATCTAAGCGGAAAACGTGTCCGTGTTTAAATAACTTTTTTATGACCTGACGCTTTCACGGCTGCCAATATTAAAAATATCTTCTTGGGCTATCAACCGTGTCAACTGGTTAAAACTTGGCTGAAGACTTCATATATAGTCGAATGATTATGTAGAGACAAACAGCCATCCCATAATGCGGTTTATTATGCAAACACTGACATCAGCCCTCTCACTTACATGACCACTGGCCTTTGTCGGCTAATACCTCGGAACAGCTATAATGAACAGCAGTGTGACTTTTATGAGTTTTAAGGGTGTTTAAGGGAAAGACACACGGCAGGAATGAAAAGTTTTTCTTGTATGGTACCAACATTTATTATGTTTAGACATGTTTAAAAGATGAAACAATCGACGTTTGTGCTAATATAATTTTCGTGACTTTATAGGCGTACTTTTTATGTGCATAGTGTTCGCTACATACTGCAGTGTATACTGACTTGATATTCTGTCCATGCAGAAATTATCAACATTTTATATCTAGAAATATAGCAACAGTGCCACGGTGTAATAATGATGTTAAGAATATCTTCTTGAAGTTCGGAGTTAAATTAGACAAAGAAAGACGCACACTTGCAATTAAGAAGCAGTTTACTCTTTTTCGATCAAACAACCAGAGCAGACGGAAATCAATGTACCAAACTATTCAGTTAAGAAGGAAATTATATAGCTTATATTCTTTTTTATTGTATTTAGTATCTTGGCTCGGAGTATCATCTGAACAGGGCACACTCCGACATCAGATATGACCCTAAAATTACTGTTATAACCATTTCCAAAGTTACGACTTCTACTCCAAGATCAGACACGCATGGTGTCAGAGATGGAGCCCTGACTTTTGACCAAGGGTGTTATATATAATACGCTACTTGGTCAAGGCCTTCGCACACTTCTTGGGACGGTGATAGATGACTATAGACTAATGTTGGAATAATGATTAGTGGAGGGAAACCTGGATACAGCGGTAGTATATCCTACTCGTTTACAACTTCTTTCACCGTGAATCTCACTTAAAGTCACTGGCTGTCCATTGTGTGAAGCCAGGGTCTAGTTGCCACCCAAAGTTTTATTTAAGACTTTGTCCTTTACTTTTTTATGTTTATGAGATGTAGTTCTGAAGTAAGAAGAAAAATTGTAGGTAGTGGGAAAAACTGCCAAGTAGCCAAAACTTTTGAAACTTGTGCGAAATATTAATGAAAATCAGTTTTGTGATTTGTGTGTTCCCGTAGATATTAGAACCGGCTTTATTACTTGAATTTGGGGACTATAAACACAATATTTTGGCGAAAGATCTTCTGGTGACTGGTATATCAGCTCCAAGCCTGAGAGGATGAAACTATGCTGACGTATATATTGTTTAAATCTTGTCCGTCTAATCACAATAAATTCTTATTAAATATTAAAATAGTACAATAATTGACATTTAAAATATTTAAAATATTAAATGATGTTCTTTATCGAAATATTCGATTTACATTAGACCATCATTTTTCACGACATGTTTCAGTTCTTAAAAGAACTATCTTCAGGTGTATATAATTATATAAAGATTAAAATCAATAATAACTTAAATACAATTTCTATATATTATTTTAGCGTACATTTTTATCAGATGTTTATCAGATATCAAACGATGTTCTTTTCCAGATTTTATTCCATTTTAATAACATATTCGATGTTGTTCTGTATATGTACATCATGCTCAATATGACTTTAGTGTGGGTGAACGTTTTTTTGTTGTTTTTGTATCAGCCTGTAATGTAAATAATATAAAGACTAAATGAATATTAATAAAATGGAAATAGAAAATAAAATAATATATTGAAATATATACTGACGTAGCTAAACGTCACTTCCACTTGCTGTTCGCTGCACTTGCGGTCTGTAGTACCCGAGACGCTGTGGCGACCTCACAGTTGTTCAGACACGTGCTGCGGAAATTTGAGGCAACCTGTACGTTAACACGTGCGCCGATACCAAATTCAGTATGTTAGAAAGGTCTATAGAGACTTGTACTGTGATCAAAGGGCTAACGACATGGCATGTCACGCCAGGTTAATGAGTAGTTACGTAACTGATGGAAGATGGGACTAACTCCAGCAAAGCCTGCGCGAGAAACCATGTAGCTGCTGTTTACTAAGTTAAACCGGATACAGACCGAAGCGTTCAAAACTGATTAAATATATTTGTGAACAATATTGGATGTCTAGGTCGAAACTTCTTTTCAGAAACATACAGTCTGTTGCAACTGTGATGTTTGACCACAATGTCCAGTTCTGACGAAGATTTAATTATCTGCAGCGCAGCGTTTATTGTAATGAGTGACAAAGTAAGGAAAAAGAAACGGAAACTAAGTTTGTGAATATACGTAGACCTCGTTTACAAATCAAGTGTGCTTGCGTGTGCATGGACGATAACAGTGGGTTTCGAAACTTTACAAGAAATAGAGCATCGGATTTTTTATTGGTTCAAAGTGCCCATACTGAACACAGATTACAGAAAACCTATGTTATTGAAAGAAACTGCAAATTTGACATCTTTCGCAACAAGTGACGAGCTTGGTTTTTATAATCTTTTGAAATGACATTCCATAAACATTCCCACAAATTCTATATTCAATTTAGCATTCGTTTAGTAGGATCTGAGGTTCTCACAGCGGTGAGTACAAATACGGCTGTCTTCAGGGTTGTAGTGCCGTGTAATCTGATAGTAGTTTACCAACGTTTTAGAGGTCCTTACTCTACCCATCATTGGGGCGCTTACTCTCGCTTTAATGATGGCAGCAGCAGGGGCCTCTGAACTTCTACCAGACTACACTGACTTACAACCCAGAAGATAGCCATCTTAACATTTGTTTTCTAGACCACTCGACATCCTTGGCTAAACAAAGATATGCATAGAGTACATAATTAAAATACTTGAAAATGTTCTTAACTGAAGGTTTAAATGCACATAATCAATTAACAAGATAATAACGTAATTCAATTCTAAATGGATCTGACGATGGTGGATTACACTTAAAATTATTCAATATTTGGACTTTTGTCCATTTCCAGTGATGGAGACTAACAGCTCTATCTGACGGACACACTTGAGTAGGCACCTCTCGCCTAAAGACGGAAACAAAGCCAGTTTCCAAAGCGTCGTGGTTTCTTTTAAATAAAGACGACGAAAAAGTCCAGATAATGAATAATTTCAAGATATTAAAGCATTTCCTTTATTTATTAGTATTAATAATATGTCGAATTTATGTTAAATGTTTTAGGTTTTAACGACAAAACACCCACATGGCAAACATAAGAACACTTTTCACTCTAAAGTTTCCACTTTGTTACTGAATATCAAATGTTGACATCAGCAGTGTTCTTCAACTAGTGAATATTCTCAAGGAACTTTGATCACACTTTGAAATTTCTTTTGTGAACTTTTCGCTAAGATTCTTTGCCTTTGTCTGTATCTAGCTTTAGAGTCGTGATAGAGGAGCTTCATTCGCACCAGTTTTTAACTTTGTTGGAAGAAAAATGTAGTCAGGAAAAGTTCAGATAATGAATACATGAAATATATGTATAATATCTGTATTAATTTGTCCTAGGCAAAGATAGGAATTCCTACCGCTGTTAGAAGTTTCTAAAATTTTAATGCGAATGTACTGTTTATGACTATTATAAAACTGTGTAAACTAGAAAATGCTATCCTACTTTACTAGAAGGGA